CTGAGGGTTGAACTCTATGGCCAGTCCTGGACTGAGTAGTTCCATTAAAGCAAGGGTCAGCAAAGCAAGGTCCACCAGGCCAAATATTGCCCTTGGCCTTACTTTCATATGCCCAACAAGCCAAGAATGGTTTTCAGATTTAAAAGGATTGTGCAAAACAAACAATAACAATAAAGTATTTACCTAATAGACTTTGTCTTGTCTTTCTCCGCTGGGCCACTTCCCCAGACTTCAAGCTAGGCCGAGTTCCTCATCATGACCCTGACTGTCAGGGAGCCTTGCCTCTGGGATTCCACAGGGAAATGCTCCACGCAACGGGAAAGGCTCTGATGGGCAGGTGGACCTGCAACTACCTTCTTCCAGCTATTCAGAGCACCTAAGCTTCCCAGGTCAGCACTGACACCCAGAAATTTGCTGCCAAGAACTCCCTACCATGTCTTTCAGGAATGGCCTGTTTATACAGAATGGGAAAATTAATAAAACATGAAATACTTACCTTGAGTTATTAAAGAGAGGCTTTTGGGTCCTCCCTCTCTAATCCATCTCTGCCCAGGGGTCAACATCATGTCCCCTTTTTTGGTACCAAGAAGAGCCTTAAATGGGGCACATGATCCCTGTCTCTATAGTCCCCAGTATTCCCTATTTTCTCCTACTCACTTTTCTTATTTACATCCACTGCTTGGACCTGTGAGCATTTGGTCCTAGACAAACTGTGATCAGCAATCACACCATGTTTAGTTCCTATGCCTGACGCCTGACATGCTTTTGTCCCTCCCCTGGTCCTGACGCATGGGTTGTCCTTTCTGCCTGAATACTCTTCCCACTTCATTTGCCAGTTGAATTCTTTCACAACTTACAAAATGCAGTTAGAATCTGAACCCTTCTGTATTCTCTCTCTCTCTCTCTCTCTCTCTCTCTCTCTCATGCGAGTGTGTGTGTGTGTGTGTGTGTGTGTGTGTGTGTCTACTAGGCTATGAGCTGCCTAGGATGGAAGCTAAGTCAGTTTCTTGTCTGTACCCCTGCCTAGCATAGGACAAGCACATGGGGCCATCAGGAACATTTGTGGAAAGCTTGAATGAACATGCTTTAGTTCATCTAATGGTCCACAATCGTGAGGCCTCTCTCTACTCCTGCAGGGCCCTCAGTGTGTGCTTTTTGTCCCTGAGGAGATGCTATGCAGATTGGCATGGGGTAAGCTTATGCAGTGCCACGTAGGACTAGAAAGACCATCATCAGTTCATCCACTGTGGAAATCAGTATGGAGCCTCCTCGAAAAACTAAAGCGAGAACTACCATTGCAATCCTGCTAGTCCACTCCTGGGAATACATCTAAAAGAATGTAAGTGTGCATACAATAGAGACACCTGCACACCCATGTTTATTGCAGTGCTATTCACGACAGCTGAGTCATGGAATCAGCCTAGGTGACCATCGACAGAAGAACAGATAAAGAAAATGTGAGATATAAATGTAGTAAAGTATTCTCAGCCATAAAGAAGAATGAAATCATGTCATTAGTAGGAAAAAGGCTGAGCTGGTGGAGTGGCTCAAGTGGTAGAGTGCCTGCCAAGCAAGCATGAAGCTCTGAGTTCAAACCAAAACCAGTGCCACCAAAAAAATATATATATATACTATTAGTAGGAAAAAGGCTGAAACTGGAGGATATTACATTAAGTGAAATAAGCTAAACTCAGAAAGATAGATATCACAAGTTTTCTCTCATAAGTGGAATCTAGATTAAAAAAAAGAGAAAGACAGGAAAGCAGGAGGACTATTTGAGAAGAAGGGGACCAGTTGAGAGGGACAAGACAGGGTGATGAGGGATGAATATGATCAAAGTATGTTATGTACACATATGGAAATGTCATAATTAAGCCCATTATTTTGTATAGTTAGTATACACCAATAAAAATGACAAAGGAAAGGTCCCAGCAACTCAGGAAGTAGAGGTAGGAGGATCACAGTCAGAAGCCAGCCAGGTCAAAGTTAGTGTGAGATCCTATCTAAAATAAAAAGCAAACTAAAAGCAAAAAGGATTAGGGGCGTGGTTCAAGTGGCAGAGCACTCAAACCTAAGTCCTTGAGTTTAATTTCCAGTACTGCAAAAAAAAAAAAAAAAAAGAGAAACCACCATTAGCCTAGTCTGTGCAGGATACTTTAATAAAATACCATAGACTTGGTGGCTGATAAGCAACAGAAATTTATTTCTCACAGTTACGGGGACTGAGAAATCCAAGATCAAGGCAATAACTAGGCTGGAGGAATGACTCAAGTAGTAGAATGTCTACCTTGAAAACATGAAGTCCTGAGTTCAACCCCCAGTACTGCAAAACAAAACAAACAAAAAAGGAAGCAGCAGATTGAGTGTCTGATGAGGCCTGTTTTCTGGTTCATAAATGGTGCCTTCTCATGTGTCCTCACATGGGGGAAAGGGAAGGCAGCTCTCTAGGGCCTCTTTTATAAGGGCACTCTTATAAATCCCCTTATAATTTGCTCTCATGACCTGATCATCTTCCACCAGTCCACCTCCAATCACCATCATCTTGGGGGTTAGGATCTCAACAGGTGAATTTGAGGAGGACTCAAATATTCAGGCCACAGCACTAGCTCTCTTGTCTTAGCCAGAGAGCTCACAGGGATCACATAGCTTAGGGTACACCTGCCACTCCCTCATCACCTGCTTCACAGCCAGTGCGTGGTGCAGTATCAGGTCCTGCTTGGACCTCACAGACCCCCACACTCTCCCTGCTGAGCAGAGTGAAGGCCTAGCTGTTTCTGTGAGCAATGGTAACAGAAAGGTTTTCCTGGACCAGATCCCATATTTGCAGCAGGTTTGAAATTCTTTCTAACCAGAACTCAAACTCTGGCCACAAAAAATGTTTCAGCATGACCATATCATTTAAATAATGACCATATATAATATATATGTATACATATATACATATATTCAGAAAATAACTTTGGGAGGGGTGTAAAAAGACAGTGGATACCCTTTAAAACTTTTCAACTGTTATTTCTTAAAACAAATGTGCATTTCTTCTGTAAAAAGGAGGCTATAAAAATGTATTAAGTAGTCTTATTTTTCAGAAAATTAACCTATGGTCATAAAAGAATGTGGGAGTTCAGCTTTGTGGCATACCTCATCCTAAGCTCCTGCAGAAGAAAGACAGCAACAGAAGTCATCACCAACTGCTCGGCCACAGCCTCTGTGTGTGTGTGTGTGTGTGTGTGTGTGTGTGTGTGTGTGTGTGTGTGTGTGTGTGTGATTGGCATTTCTGCACTGTGAGGGGTAAAAGGAGAACAAGCAACCACTCAGGTTCCCCCCACCCACCCAGCCACGGCCTAGCCCGATTCCAGCAGAACTGGGCAGGTGGAGACTGGTAGCAAGGCCTTGAACAACCTGAAAGTTGATGAAAGTCCAGGACCCCCGCAGGAGTCACAGGGCAACTTTCACTATATCATGTTCCCTGTAACCCTCCCCAGACCCTAGCAGAAGGGTCCCAGGGAAAAGCAGCTGAAAGGGGATTGTGCTTGGGGGCTGAGGGAAGGGGACAGTCACATATGATATCTATCCAGACGACCATGGGCTGTTTATGTTGGCAGCAGTGGGGTAGGAGGAGCACAGTTTGGATCTGTTCTCCTGCACCAAGTCCCTAGCACTGGGACAGGCTGCAGTGGGCACTTGGGAATTAAAAAGCTAGCAAATGAATGAACCTGCACAGTAAAGGGTAAAGAGCACATGCTCCCAAACCGATTCTGCTGTTTCCCAGCAGTGGTTCAGACAAACCCTCTCCTTTGCTGTCCCTGAGACTCAGTTTCCTCAACAATTCAATGGGAACACCACCTTCTCCCCTGTCTACAGAGCCCTTTGAAGTGAGAGAGGGATTTATCAAGAAAAACACCCTAGACAAAACGTTGCTTTTTTTTTTTTTTTTTAACATTACTAGGGAGTATCTGTTTAGAATTTCAGGATTTAAAAACAAAACAAAACAAAAAACACCAGATGGCTTCAAAGCACGCAAATGTTGGGCCAATTCTCGTGACCTTCCTGGGTGTGGGGTGGGGTGGGAGTGGGGCGCGCCTGGAGAGCAGTGGGGAAGGAGGAGACAGCCAGGAACCAAGGAGGGGGAAGGCCAACCTCGGTGACTCATGGTGGGTCAGATTTGGGCTCCAGGCCACTCCAGGGCAGAGGAGCCCCTTGCTTTCTCATGCTGGCTAGCTGCAAGCAAGACAGGTCTGTGGGCGCAGCCCCAGGACGGGGGTGGCTTCCTGGGCCACCCCGTTTTGCTTCCAACTTGGGGAATCCCCACCTACAAGTTCCGGCTCTACGGTAAATCCCGAATTCGAATTCTATCATGGCTGTGGCTGCGGAGATTTGATAAAGTCCCTTTCCATCTCCAAACAGCCCTGGTTTCTTCTCCCTCAACCAAGCTGTCCTCTCAGGGTGGGAATCCAGCTTACGGGTATAGTGTGTGTCGCTTTTTCATGCTCTGAAAGGAATCTGGTACACAGAGGGGGCACTCTAAGAACAGAGGCACACTGGAGGTTTTCTTGTATGTGTGTATATGTACCTATATGCGTATGTATATGTATATGCCTATTTTTGTATCTATATCTATATGCCTGACATGTTTTCTGTGCCTTACCACTACCGTGGAGGTAGGTTCTATTATCCCTAGCTTACAACTGGGAAACTGAGGCTCAAAGCCATCAGTTCCCTGAGCAAGGTCTCACGCCTAGTCAGTGGCTGACTTGCGGTCTGAACTTAGGCTGTTTGCTGCCCCTCAGGCAGAAGCCGTCGCTCACAGCCGCGATTTGAGCTTGAGAGCCGCCCCTCACCCTCTTCTCTGGCTCTTGGGGGGCCCAGTCCCCGCCGTTGTCACGACAACCGGGGGGCCAATGGGGAGCAGGCAGACGGGAGGAGGCCCCGCCCCAGCCCCACCCCTCTCGAAGGGCTCCGGGCTATAAGGGCCGGAGGCCAAGCGGCGGGAGCCGGAGCCTGGAGCGCAAGGCGCGCGCTGAGTAGTCGGAGTGTCTGGAGCGAGCAGGTCTCCTGAGCAGTAGCCAAGATGTGCGGTGAGTGCAGCGCCCACCCGCCGCCCCCTCCTCCATGACTTCGCAGGGGCCGAGAGCCAGGCGCAGGGGACCTGGTTGGGGGCGCTGATCTTCCCCTGTACACGACCCTGGGGCTTGCTTTCATTGGCCAAGCCTGCCTCTCCCTGTTCTCGCCCCCGAGTGTTGTCTTGAGGGGGGTGGACCCCAACCTGTCTCCGACATTGTGAGAAGACCCAGGCCCAGACGCCTTCAGAGGAGAGGCAATGGGTCCGGTCTTAGGCCTGGACCCCCATAATACAGAGGTGCCGCTACCTCATGTCCGGTGAGGGCGCTTTCTTCCACTTTGCCCGAGTAGCCCACAAAGGCCGCCACGCGCAACCTGGGCGCGGGGTGGCCAAGCCCTGTCTCAGCCCACCGCGCCCAGCCAGGACAGGCGACCTCACCTGCGCGCTCTCAGCTGCCCGCCAGGCTCGTCCCCGGGGCATCCAACACCGGGTGCGCCCAGGAAGGGCCTGCACGTCTTTCTGACGACCCTAAATGAACCTCTTGTCCCTAGAAGGGTGGATTCAGTGTTGACGCTTCTTTGCTGAAAAGAGCCAGGCGCGTAGAAAAGATTTTGTCGGGGAGCCTCGAGCTGAAGCTAAGAAAGGGAGTCCAGGTCAGGGATTGGGGCATCGCTCCAGGCGATTATCGCGGCGACCAGGAGCTGTCCTGTTTGGGGCAGAGCGGAGGGCGGCGGCGGCTCTAGGCGCACATCTGCAACTCCTTACTTTCCTGGCTGGGCCGCCTCCACTGGCTGGCCGGGAAAGCCGGGAACTTCTGCTGGGACAAAAGGTCACTGTGCTTCCCCCATACCACCCCCCCCACCTCCTCTAGTAGGATTCAGTTACCCACTCCAGCCCCCTGTGGCTGGAGAACCTGGTGGAACTTTTGAAGCCATGAAAGGCTCTCAGACTGCTGAGGGGTGAAGGGTGGAGTGTGCCAGCGGTGAGCCCTGGGCCGAGGTCTATACAGGCCTTGTTTCACAGGCCAGCTGCTCAGGAAAAAGGAACGACTGACCAAGGAGTTGGCACCCGGTTTTGGGATGCAGCCTCACACAGGCGGAGAAAGCATTGGTTTAAATTCCTGAACCCTCAGCCAAAAATCTCAAGACTCCCAGGCATTGCTGACCATGCGTAGGACTGGCTCCAGGTGTGTCTGGGGACAGAGACAAGGCAAAGGTGGCAGCTTTGTCATATGGCAATATCTCAGGTTCCAAACCCTTCAGTGTAGCATTGGAGGCCATTGGCCTATTGGTGACCTTAAAGCCAAACTTGTATAAGGAGACCATAAACCCGTGAGGCTTCCCATCTCTCCTTCTCTCAGCCTCCTGGTCCCCACTACCACCCCACTCCTCCATCCTCCTTCCTTCTTGCACCTGACTTTCTCCCGTGTCTTTCTGAGTTTTGGAGGGCTATCACCTTCAACTCCTCTCAGAATCAATTTTTTGTTATTGTTGTTCTTCTTTCTTTCTCTTTTTTGGCAGTACTGGTATTTGAACTCAGGGCCTCGTGCTTGCTTGGCAGGCACTTTACCACTTGAGCCATGCTCCCATCCCTTTTTGCTTTAGTGATTTTTCTGTAGTGTCTCACATTTTTGCCTAGGCTGGTCTGGACCTCTATCCTCCCCTTTAGGCCTCCTTCATATCTGGGATGACAGGCATAGGCCACCACACCTAGGTGTTTATTGGTTGAGATTAGGTCTTGAGAACTTTTTGCCTAGGTTGGCTTCGAACCACAATGTTCCCCATTTCTATCTCCTGAATAGCTAGGGATTACAGGTGTAAGCCACCACATCCAGTTTGTTCTGTATTCTTAAAGGTCTGCACATGTATTTTTCCCTTTGGGAAAGGTTGTGCTTTTGGTTGTAAGTAACCTGTATCTTCACATCTCTGGCACTGATTGTTGTTGAAAGTGAAAAGAGCCCTGAGGTCACCCACCAAAGGACATCCAGGACTCAGGAGCAGCCTTGGCCCATAGGGGTGCCCATTCAGAGCCAGAAGCACGGAGGATGTACTAGACTAGGAAGCTTCCTCCAAGTTCATTTCCCTAGGGACGATGCTTGCTGATGCCCTTCTCCCCACTCTCCCTGCCTTCATCAGGGGAGTCATGCAGAATTCCCCTGTAGGAAAGTCATTTCCTTTTCAGACAGCGCGAGAAAGACTCAGCTTGATGCTAATGTGTCCTTAACGTTATCTGACACTTACCAAGCACCCTTTGCACAGAGGCAGCTGCCCCTTGGAGGGTGGGGGGGGGTTGGCCAGAACTGAATATGTTAGTCTGGGGCTTGGGAGATCATGTACTATGTATGTATGGCAAAGGATACTGTTCTTCCTTTTATGATTGTTTTCTTTTGTGATGGATTCATTTAAGTTTTTGAAAATGTAGTCAATTTTACAGAAAGTCAGTTAAAGAAATGGTCATGGTATTGGTAAAGGATAGAGCTAAAATTGTAAAGATTCATCTAGAAACATAACCTCTTTAGTTTACATTGGGGAAAATTGAGGCCCAGAGAGGTTTATAGACCCCCCTGCGTTGCACAGGACTCATTTTAGATCATTTCCCTGGGCCATGCTTGCTGCCACAATTCAGTGTAGCCTCAGGTCTCAGATCTTCTGGGCTGTTCTTACAGGGGTCAAGACTAAAGGCCCTTCCTTATCAGCTGGCTAATAACCATGTTCAGATGGTGTCTTTGATGCTTCTCCCACAGAAGGCCAGGACCCAACAGTAGTTGATCCTCCACAAACTGAACAAGTGCCCTCAAAAACAATCGTGCACTGAGTTTAGCTGACATGATACTTGCTCATGTGTGTTTTTTGACATTTGAGAGTTGCTGGCATTTTGCTGACTTTTTGGCAATAGGAAGGTTACTTCTATTTCCTTTCTCTGTCACTTCTTTCTGCCTTCCTACTTTCCTTCTCTCTTCTTCATGTAGTCACTAAGTGAATGAACACTTGTGGAAAGGCTCTATCCTTTCTAGGCTCTGGGGTTTCAAAGGGCACGGGAGTGTGCCCCCTCAAAGAAGGGTCAGATGAGTTGGAGGGCCAGGCTAAGGCCAGTCACTGACTGGGCATAGGAAAACTCAGAGTTTTCTTGCCATAGAGGAGAGCCAGGCAGACAAACATCTTTTTGTTCAATGTACAGGCTTTAAATATTTTTTAAAAATTAGTTACCAAATTAAAAAATTGGGAGGTTTCACAGAAGTAGGTGTGATTTTTTTTTAACTTCTTTTTGGAAAAAATCCAAAGATCTACAACTTTGAGTCCATACTTCTGTAGTACCTGGGTGGCCCTTGGATGACGGGCACCAGCTCCCAGTTCTCCCAGCTGCCTCGCTCACTAGTGTTACCTATTAGCAGCCAGTAATCTGAGCTTGGGACCGTGGCACAGAACAGACATGAAATAACTTTCCCAGGAAGAAGGAGACAGACCTGGGACAGTGCCACAAGGGTCCTGGCTCAAGTATGAACTCTGCTTATAGAGGAGGCTAACAGACCTGCCAGGTGAGGGGCACAGCATCACTGTCTCTGCCTCCGTGGTCATATGGCCTCTGCCTTCCTCTTGGAAGGACACTTGGGATTACTTTTAGAGCTCTCAGATTATTCAAAGTAACCTCCCATCTCAAGATTCTTTAACTTACACTCATCTATAAAGACCTTTCCCCATAAAGCAGTGGTTAGGGCCTGGTATCTTTGAGAGTCATTAGTCACCATACTACATTTGGACTGTCACTTTCAGGTGCCCTTCCTCCAGAACAGACCCAGTGTCTCAAACACCAGATGCTCCAGCCTTGGCTGTGAGGACCTAGGCCAGAGCTCCACCAGCATCCCCTTCCCACAGTGTACCGCAGTCACCTGTGCCCACATTCTCAGACTGGACCCATCATGGTCAGAAGTAAGTGCAGGCATCAGTGAAATACTCTGCTCACTGGCATGGTGCCACCTACCCAATGGAACTGAACACATTTCACTGTCCCTTTAAAACTCAGCCACCATGTCATATCCTTATGAATTTCACTGAATCTTGCCCTACATGTGGTACATATTCTACCTGGTTCTTATATTCCTGTGAGAAGTGGGCATAAACTTTAGGGTTTTTTTGTTTTGGTGGTACTGAGGTTTGAACTCAGGGCCTAGCACTTGCTGACAAGCATTCTACTACTTGAGCCACGCCTCCAGTCCATGTTGCTTTAGTTTATTTTTCAGATAGGGTCTTATGCTTTTGCCCAGGGCTAGCTTTGGACTGTAATCCTCCTACCTCTGCCTCCCATATAACTGGAATTACAGGTGTGAACCCATGTTTGTTTTTTGAGATAGAAACTCACTAACTTTTTTGCCTGGGCTGTCCTCGAACCTCAGTCCTCCCATCTCTGCAGAATGTTATAGGTGTGAGTTACTATGCCCAATTAACAGGCATGGTTTTTATTCACCAGAATCAAGAGGGTCCAGGGACACACTCACACACTTGAGAGTGCTTGTCTAGTGCACAAAAGGCACTTGCCTCTCATCTCAGATGGAACTGAGATCCTCTACATTGATAGCTTGGGAAGTACATTCGGGGAAGTTAAACCACTCAGGAGAGGGCTTACCTTTTCTCTTCCCACTTCCTCCTGCTCTCAAAATTTCATCAGAGCAGAGGAAGGAGGATCAGGGTTCCAGATCAGCCTAGGCAAAGTTAGTGAGACCCTACCTCAAAAACAAATAAAAATCAAAATAAAAGGTCTAGGGACATAATTCAAGTAATAGAATACCAGCCTAGCAAGCTTGAGGCCTCAGGTATAATCCCCAATACCACAAAATTTAAAAGGTAAAACATAAACCTCTTTAGACATAACACTCCTTTCTTCCTTGTAACGTTTAAGTGTGTAGATGAATTCCTCAGAAAGATATAGCGTGTTTTGGAGGACTAGTTTGTGAGGGCACAGATCCTGGGGTCAGGTTGCCTGGCTTGATCCCTCTCCAAGCCCCTCTGGTAGAAATGGGTG